GAAGGTGTTTATGCTTCTTATTTAGCTCCGCCCCCCTCAAACAATATATAAGCAGGTACAGAGCAAAATGCAAGCCAGTTTCAGTCAAGCTGTGAATAAGCCAACAGGATGATTGGCGAAACGTCAGCAAGTTCGACTCAGCAAAAATCGACGCAGGATTAATCTAGAAGTTTTATAAAAAGTATTACAGTAGCCTGTGGATGTTTCTTGAAAAATCAATGATGTAATCGTTGTGTGTTCATAAGTGACGTCCTGATTTTTGCTACTGTCTGAGCTGCGAAGAAGATAATAGCAAATGGTTTTTTTAGAATAAGGTTCCATTTTAAGTATTAGAGGATCATGTTTTTTGTTGCAATGTCTACTATTTTAATTTGGTTTAAAGATATTTTAGATTAAATTTGCACCTACTCTACATTAACACTGTACAAGTTTAACATATATTATTAATCCAGTCTTGTTTTTTTAAACCTATACACATTAAAAAAAGAAAGTTTTATTATTATTATTATTTGAAAAAAAAAACGATTGTAAAAATTGATACAATTGTAGCCAATGTCTATTTCAGTGGAGTAGCGAGGAAACCCACCAATTGTTGAAATAAAAAAGAAAAAAGTTGAAAAATATTTTTGAGTACATGTATCGCCATTCCCTATGTAAAATCGATGACGTGTCGAGACTATGCGTGACGTAATTAATTTGAGTTTCTTCTCGCGACATCTTTCTAATTGAAGCCGAAGAATTTAATTTCGCTGCATGAGCGGAAAAAGTCTATATTTACCTACTAATTTATTACCTTAAATGATTTATCGCAACATTAAAGGGGCTCGGGCTAAATATTTTACACCGCGAGCGATTCATCACACGAATCGGAAGTTTTCTTTCCTATCTAACATCGATCGCTTCATTTGAAATGCCTCCATTGTTTGATTACAGAAAAGTGCATTCAACGTTCCATGCCTGGATGCAAATATTTGATTTTCCTATTACGTATGCTTAGTCCGACGTAGCTTCTGCAATATCGTATCGTCAGATATCGTTAATTTAACCTGAGATACAAACATGGCGCTTGGAATTCAAGGCGCTGCGTCGGCAGCCGAGATAGGAAAGAAAACATAATAGAGAAGTGGCATGTGGCATCAAAGGCTTTTATTTCTGTCGATTCATTTCGCGTCGGCGTTCCGTGGGAGCAAAAATAATAAATTATAGACTTCTAAATCCTCAGGCGGAAACTGCTAGATGAAATTGCTCTCAGCGCTCATCATTTACGAAAGTATTCAGGGATTAGCTTCGAGGGAGTTAATAGTTTGGATTATCGATATACGCCAGTGTCAGTTGGAAAACGTTGTTGGCTTTTAGGCCGAGGCGTCTAAGTAAGGATATACAAAGTATACAAGGTAGTTGTAAATAGAATATTTTAACAAAGACTCGATTTTTGAGAAGGTGTTAATAGTAAAAATCTCAGGGCAGGACCTTAACCGCCGGGCGTTTTTTAATTTTCGATGATTTTGAAAATCGCACAAAACTTTTTTATGGCACTTTCTGATTGGAATAAAAACATAATCAGATTTCTCTATCATATCCAAATAAAATATCCGAATTAAATATTAATAATATTAAGTAATCAAAATTTTAAATTAAAACATTAAGTTGTTCTAGCATTTAGCATTTTTTATTTTGTTTTAATTTTTTAAACTTTTATCCCAATTACGAATTTTCATATATCAAATGTTATTGGCAATTTTCAAAGTTACCCAAAATTGAAAAACTGTTTTCAAGAATTGGCCATATTTTTCTTATTACGAAATATATTTAAAAACTTTTCCATTGCACCTTTTTAAGAGACTGATTTTTTAAAATAAATAATTGATATACGTTTCAGATGCTTAAATTTGATGGTTTGATTTAAATTTTATTTTCGTGATATTTCAAACCCAAAAACTATCTTCTTAATTTTTTTCTCAAACTCTTGACTGGAACCTTCGGCACTGCACTATAATAATAAAACTGTTTTTAACTGTTTTTAAGTTTTAATCTTCTCCTGAAGATGCCAACTTGGTTGACGAAACGCGCGTTGAGTACGTAAAATTGAGTTTCGGTTTGTGGTAAAACGCGTTATTGTGTGTTAATTTTTTCTAATTATTGTATGTTTTCTGGCCCCTACAATAATGTCAGGAAATATAATTTTCTATTTTCGGCATTTTCGGACATATATTTATTAACCACATTAGGTTTAATTTTTAATTTTTTAATAGACATTTATGCTAGAAATTAGCTTGCCGCTTATTAAAACACTCACAACAAAAAACAGACCAAGTACCTAGGAATAACAGGAACGAAAAGGATGTAGCTGCACGTATGCCATCGGCAAACAGCAGCTTCCTCAGATCCAAACAACCTAAGATAAAAATAGATAAGGCACGATCTGGTCTATCGTATGATCGCGAGACGTGGGCGGTAACTAAACGACAAACCGATACACTTTTAGAAGGGAACGAGCAGATTTATATCCCACACGGGTAAAAGTACGCTTTTTATTTAAAGCAGAAAATTGGAAATTTTGGAAAATTTCGGTGATTTTCACACTTTTGATGCCAGATGAAACGAGCAGTTTAAGAGGAACATTTTTAAGTAAACTATGCACTGAATTAGTGAACACTTTTTAGCTAACCTTTTTTGTTATAGACTTATTTATTCAAATTTGTTACTTTGATTAGTTAGCCTATAAGATTTAATTATTTATTATTGTTATTTGATATTTTCAATCAAGCTTGATAATTAACTATTAATTAATTTTATTCGTATATCTCGTGCATTATATCTTTAAAAGAAGTAGGATAATGTCTTTGCTATTTAAAAAATACCTAATATTGCCAACAAGTGACCTAATGTGGGCAGCTTTAAATTCAACAAGAATTTATACGGGTGTTATCTTAAACCTCGAATTTCTCAAAAAACAGAAAAATGTAAACATAATATTTAAATATAAAAAATTATAATTGAATTCGCCAACACGGCACCACCTATTTGGGACACCCTGTATAAGCTGAGGCGCATCTGTCAAACTGATTGAGTAGTGCATCATCTCCTTAGTCACTGGTTAAATTTTCATTGCAATACCTGGATCATTAACGCCACAACACAATTTTATATGGGGCAATCAAAATATGAAAAAGACACATAACTTAAATTTCTACCTAAACTATGCAAAATTCGAATAGGAATTTTTTCAGAAAGTGACCTTTATTTTAATCAAGGAGTCCAAAAATGTCGGTGTAAAATAACAAAGTTGTTGTGGGGGGGCACTTTTGAGATGCCCTGTATCAATAAAATTATAATATTTTGAATCTGCAGCCGAGTCCAAGAAACTTTTGTACGAAAGTTTGTTTCGTATCTTCTATAGGTTTCCAGATCGTATAGTGGATCGTTTTATTTGGCACACGATGTATGTAGATCACTAGTTACTGTGTATAGAAAAACTGCTCCATTTTGGTTTGAATCAGCTTAGGTTAGGCAACCTGGGGTACCTCACGACACGCAGTTTATTTCCGCACTTGCTAAGGCAGATTGAACGCAATATAAATTCAGATCTCTGCGATATGGGTGGATGCAGTAGGTAACATAATTTGAAACTGAATGCGAACAAGATCGGAAAGTGGTTCGCGGTACTTAAAGATGATCTTCATTTAAACATTAATAACCAGGCGCCAACGTTTCTGAATCTGGGTGTATTATGTGATAGTAAAGTTCAATTTACGGAACATATTAATCGCGTAACATTTTACATTTGAAAGTGCGCGAAGAAACTTCGTTAAGGTAACCTTTTTTCAACGAGTGCTTAATTTTTTACTATTCGGCGCTAGATTTAAGGAACACCGGCTTAAGAAACTGCAGAACAGCTGCCGTCGATTTGAGAATGCCAGTGCTTTTTTATATAACAAATAAAATGTTCCAGCCCAGAGTAACTACTTGGCTATGTCCCAACAGCGCTCAAGTTTCTTTCGAATTATAGGGTAGGATTAGATAGATCAGTTGCCTCGTTTACTGAGCGAACAAGTGGTCTTACTCCACGGTGACTGTTAAAATCGGAGTTTGGATTATTATTGTGTTCTCAATCTGTTATTATTATTTATATTTTGATAAGTTTGTCGAGTTCTTCTATCTTATTGATTGCATTGTATTGTTCAAATCTATTTGCGGGTGTACTAAAGTTAATGTTGAGTAATGCTTTTTTAAGCAGCTACCTTTTGTTCAACATTGACTAGGTTAATCTGGAGTTACAAAATTCATCATTTAAAGATCGCAGACTAACTTCAATTTAGTCGAAGCAAAAATAACAGGGGGTAAATATTGATTAATATATGAATAGTTCTATGATATAGTTCATTTTAGATCTTGTTAATTAAACCGATTGGTCCAATAAACTCCAGCAATTTTGTGGTTGCAGTGCGGTTATCGTTAAACTGTGTTCCAGTGGAGTTATAGTGTTTGTTGTTTCACGTACTCTTAAGTTTTGACAACCATATACCCTAACGTATTTAATGGCGTGAAGGTATGGGGACCACAAATAAGACGTTTAGTGGATGTAAAACTATGGAATTGGTTTTAGGTTCGTCATTCTAACTAATTGTACTATTGTACTAGAGCATCACTTTTTCGAATAGATAATTGAGTCTCCAATTTTTGATAGGCATTTCGCAGTGGTTTATTTGGAATATTTCTGGAGTATCAATGTCAATTATTGTTGCGTATATTACTATTTAATATCAAAATAGTCGATAATGTTCGGAGGCGGCAGTAAAAAAAAAAACCATGGCAAATATGTCTCACTTCATTCCTCGAATTTTTGCTCTCTGTGTGTTTCGATTCAATTTCCGGGCGTTTTGTGTAATCTATAGCGCATGAGAATAAACTATTTGGCAATTAATCTTAATCCAGTAAATGGTAGTGCGCTTTTCCAGGTGCGATTATTACGAAGTCACTGTCAACTAAACGCGGAATACCTTTGGCTCGGACTCTTGCAATCACTTTCGTTGGCATTGGAACTCTCGTCTTCATCCCTACTGGTGTTGTGAGATCTGGGGCTGTGCAGGGGTGTGTTGGCGTCGTCGGAACTGCCTTCTTCGCCGCCATGCCCCCCAGAGACCATCAGGTGGCTCCCGTTTTGGGCGCCACTGGTACCTGCTATCTGTCCGACGCCACAAGACGTTGGGTTGGTCGTGGGCGGGTCAATCTGTAATAAAGTAAGGTCTAACAATATTTCGGTTTCACAGTTATATTTTTTCTTCATATGTACACCTGGACAAGTAAATGGAAAATACGTGCGTTTGTTTTATAGACTGAATATGCCATGCATTATAAGCTCGTGAGCACAGGAAGAATGGTGATACAATTACAAAATGTACAACTTATGCATGGATGTTTATACCTATGAAATTATTTTCATTTTGGTTTGAACAGCTTCTCCTTTTTGTGCCATCTAATTTTATTTACTGTAGTCCTAAATATATAGATATATAGATATAAATAGATGGCATTCTTGTCCATTGTCTTAAGTTTTGTAGCCAAAATAATCGTTTTCTTGCAGGACCTCTTTTAAGGATTATCTTAGCCAGTATAATAAGCTAAAGTAGAACATATTTATGGGTTTTTTTTGTCTTCTCGTGCAGTGTAGGATAGCTTCACTGGTTACGTGGTATTTCTGTAGCACTACATATCATATGTGGTCCCAAACCTTTACATGCAGCAGAGATCATATGTTGAAAGCTTCTCTATCAGGATTTTAAATTCGTTTATTTGTTCCCATTTGTAATTAACAAATTTACCCAGATCGTTCATCGTTTGCAATTGGGAGTTGTTCACGTGAAACTGGCCATTACTATCTTGTTTGTTTACGACCATAACGTATGTTTTATGTTGTTGTTGATTCTGAATACTTGTTTTACTTTGTCCATAAGTCTCTGGAGACGCTTACCTGTCTCTGCAATTAAGTTTAGTAACACACTCTATTCTCCAAAGCCTCTTTAATAGCTCCAAATATATATTAGCACACATTCTTATCGAACCCCTTGTCGTACTTCAAACTCTTCCGAGAGCCCATTCTTTATTCAAAGGCGAGCTTTCTGTTTCCAATAAAAGCTAGATATTATTATAATACGAATATCACTGTCATCCAGTTAAAACTGTGTAAGCGTATCCAATAATTTTCAGAGATCTCCTCTTGTTGGGGGTTTTACCCCTGAGGTTTTTGGTTCGGTATGCAAAGGGCGAGTTTTGAGCACCGGTGGTGTTGTAGTGGTAGTTCATAATTTGGAAGTGCGTCGAGTTAGGCAGGTTGTCTTTAACAAGCGCGCGTTCACTTTTTGTCCGCCAGAGCGCGCTTCGGTGCCGACTCAAAACGGAAAAAAATCGCACATAGCGATCCCGCGAGAAAGAAAATAAATGCATATTATGGAATTATCTACCTAAAATTCCCAACATTTAACTATGAGGGAGAATCCCGAACACTTATGATACTACACTTTACATCGCATGCTTTCAGTATTAGAAAAAGCTAGGAGCATCTTCGTATCTAAGGACACATAGAACCGACACCCGCCACCTCCACCTACACCTCAAAAAAAACCTCTCTATATCGTCCGCTTCATAATATTAAATTAAAAGGCAAACGGATTATAAATGAGGTGGCCCTTTAAAGGCCTCGTCGAGTGTTTACGCGCATAAAACAAGCCCCAAGCACGTCTCGCGTTTAAGAAAACCGACATCTTGTATTTACCGGCATTCGCCATCGTGAGAAAATTCAATTTTCAAAGTTTGATCGATGGAATTATTCTCCGACACGAATTAATTTCGAAATTAAAAAATCCAATTACTCCACGAGCATGCAACGGCCGTTAGTCAATAGGAAATTCTCGGCCTTTTCCGTAATTTAATACTGCGACCGGCGGACCGACTAACGACATTGATTTAGCCATAGGAAGGAAGGCAACTCCCTCACCCACCCGTAATTTAAATTTGCTAACGTAATGAACGCGTCGCCGTCAAGAACTTACTTTTAGCAACTTTATTCGGTTGATAAATGGAAATAAAACAGATTTCAGCCGCGGAGGAACGAAAAATTCTGAACCCGCGTCCCACTATGACCCAGTTCCGACGATACGCGGGAACAATACCGCGACGGACAGCCAAAAAGTTAGTAGGGGTTTATTTTTCGCTTTTGCATCGATCCTAACCCTACGCAGTTGGAAAAATAAAGCTAATACCGCGTGCGCGACTGGACACTCATATTGCGCTCAACCGAGTTCTTATCATGAAACCTTGGAAATGTGTTTAAGGATCAAGCATTCACTATTCGGCAGGGATTACCCAAGAAGAACCTCCTCACAGTATTTACTTAGAATAAAAAACCTATTACAGGGGAACCTAGTGTAAGGGAAAGAGCACCATCATCATCAAGCCTAGTGATTCCACATAACTTTAATAATAATAGATTTTAAACTTTAGGATGTGGACTTTATTGGCCATTAAATACATTATAAGAACAACAAATGGCAAGTCACATCTGCGAATGAAAATGAATTAACACAATATCAAACACATTCTAATAACACTTATAGAGAGCAACATAATTACCAGGTAGACAAATACTAAACATTGAAATAAGAATTAGGTAAAAAAATCCAATTAGTATTATGGAGACTCAACTAGAAATTGTTTTATTATTTTACAAAATTTAATGTATGACACAGGTCCTTGACAACAATTGGTAGAAAATTGTAATAATTAATGTACTATTTATTTCACTCGGATGAGCGCACCCTAGAATGCGTCTCGACAATTAATTTACATCCCGTGGAGTAGTGATTGTACCGATCACAGTACTCACGTATGCGAGTGAGTGTGTGGTAAATAATTATAAATAGAAATATTAAGCTTTGAGAAGGGCGTACGACAGTGATCACGAAGTTTTGCATTCGCAATCACACGTATCGCTCTTTTTGGCACAAGAAAAGCTTTGCGGGCATGTACGGAACCACCCCACAAAACAATAGCGTACGCTAAGTGGAAATGGACCAATTCTTGACATGACAGGAATCAGTGGCTTCTTTAAGTGTCTAATTAAAAACTTTTAGCTTGACAATTTGTGGCAAAGGTATTCAATGTTCAATACGATTGATAGAGGCTCCGATCACCTTTACTGGAGTATTATTGTGCACTTTGCTACAAGAGAACATAAGATCGTTTGTTTCAATTTCGTGCAACTGTAAGGAGTTGAAGGAGAACCATCCAAGCGCTCTAGTCTCGTTGATCACTCTATCAATACTAAATTTATATGGGTTCCTAGCTCGGGATAAGAGAATTGTATCATCCACGTAAAGCATAGTACTACATAGTATGCACTCCAGACGATACCGGCAAGCTAAAACGATTAAATCTTCCATTCCGTCGACACACTGAAGGCTGCCACAAAGGGAAGAGCGCAATAATCTGTGAGGCATGCCACTGATGCCACTCAAGTTTCTGCATCAGCACTTCATCATCCATACAATCAAAATCTTTCGTGAGATCGCAAAAGGTGGCATCTGCCATTTCACCATCGTCACAGCCGTCGACAATGCTCCCAACAAGACTTAGCAGAGCAAGCGTAGTGGACCTTCCCTAAACCTGAACTCCTCTTTGCACAATAGTTCGTGCTATTCAAAATAGTTCAGTAAACGATCTTTTAAGTTTTTTTCGAGGGATGATTGCAATAGATCTATAATTTGAGGAGACGTTGGTATCTCTCTTCTTGTGTGTAGTGGCACAATCTTGCTTATTTTTAACTGTTCTCGAAATATTCCAATTTCGAACATCTGGTTAACTAACAAAGTTGCGGTGTGTTTAAGAATTTTTGAATTTAGGTTATAAACGTCTAGAGAATTAGAATTACTCAAATGTAGAATTTTGTTATTTATAATAATAATAATAATAACAAATTTATTGTTTAACCATAAGAATATAAAATATACCAAGGACCTACAGAATTGAAGAATATACATATGGTTTACAATGGGCGTAAAATGAAGACCTCTGGACATCTAGATACTGATGAAGCCCTAATTTGAAACAAAGAAAATTAATAAAGGGCACAGTCATAATAACAAATAAAAATTGACACTACATTAAAAGAAAGAGGAAAAAAAACGAAGAGAAGCGAAATACAAGTAAAAGGATTAGGGAGCGGGGCAGTTGGGGTCGGAGGAAGGGATAGTAACTAATATTTATTTCCTGATTCTGTTCCTAAATGTCAAATGTGATTGCGAAAAGTCATATATATTGAACTTATTTAGAAAAAGCTATATTATAAGAAAACGATTTTTTAAACTCTCCTTTCGATGTTGAGGAACAGTCAAGAGCCTCCTGCGACTTAAGTTTAAATTATATACATCACTTCTAAAACAGCTTTGTTGTACAGGTAAGGCTGCGTTTTATGCGTAATAATTTTGTAGAAAAAGGTTACGACATGAAGCCTATATCTGTTAAACATACTAAGGCAACCAGATTTTTTTAGGTAATATGTTATGTGGTCTCAGCAACTCACTCTATATAGTCTGAGACATGAATTCTGCACTTTCTGAATGAGATATTTTTCAACAGTATCAAGGCAGGGCATGTATACACTAATACAATGATTCAGAATTGATAGCACAAGAATATCACACAGGTTTTTTTATATTGCGAGACAAATAATAACATTCACTGTTGATTAAGTTTAAACTTGTCACATGTACCCAGAATTTTAGTTTTGAGTCTACCCCAGACTCTTGCAGGAATCTACAAATGATAAGGTAAGGTTACTAATTTTGATTTCAATATTCCTTCGTACATGATTAATCTTCTGGTAGTTACTAAAGAGTATAACTGATGATTTATTTGTTCAAGTCATAATTAATCCTCTCCTCTGCTGTCTGTATCGTTAAAAGAATAATACAGATGGGCGTCATCCACGTAAAGGTCATGTTTTAAACACTTAAACACTTACAAAACTGAGAAGTAAAGATTGTAAACAGCAAAGGTTCCAAAATACAGCTTTAAGGGTGGTCTCTCTCTGAAGTCGATAGGGATAAGCATGGCTTGATGTTTAAAACAGAGGTTAGCACATTCGCACAAGATGTGCTTTACTTTCTACTTTTTACATACTCTGCATGTCGGGGTGCTACTTAAAGCGAACTTGAATTTGTGTTGGTTAAATAA